TGCAGGCGGGCAGCAGCCACACAGCGATAGCCAACACAGCTCCTCTGACATCTCTCTGCCAGCCCGGTTGCTGCCTGGCTCTGCAGCATCACCGTCCTGCTGGGCACCACCCTCCTCCTACCTGCACCTCAGAGCACCCAGGTGAGGCCCCTGCTCCACCCTGCCCTCCCGCTGCCCCGTGTGGCGAGTGGGCACAGGGACAACCGCATGTGACCTGCACCAACCTGTGTCCCCCCCCTCTGCACAGGCTCTGAGCGACATCGGGCAGAAGGAACTCCAGAGAGTGGAGCAGGACTTGGCCAAGGAAATGTAAGAGGCTGACGCACCTTTGGGCACCCACCTCTGGCTTGTAAAAGCCAAGACAGCAACAGCCCACAGCATAAAGCATTGTGGGGCAGAATAAATTCCCCTCATTGCTTTGTGGCCCTGCTGTGCCTTGCCTCCAAATCACCCAAACCATCAGAGCATCAAGCCCCAGGCAGTTTCCCTCTGATGGCGGCCATGGAGAGCTGCAGGTGCTGTGGTGGCAGCATCCCATCCACCCGAGTCTCAGGATAAGTGGCTAAATGGCCTCTCTGCTCCCAGAGATGCCAACTGCAGCCTCCTGGGAGAGGGGCTGGCCAGGGTCCCTGCACCCTCATGGGGTGGGATTCCCCTGGGGCAGGGGGATATTTATTAGCCCTGATGCCCCACCACCTTTCCTTGCTGACTTTGCTCTCCTCTTCCAGCATCCTGGGCATAGGAGGTGTGAAGCCAGAGGGTGACATCTCTGATGAGGTGGAACCAGGTATAAAGGTCTTCTCCGGCAGCGACTGGGCTCGATGGGGCTCCAGCCAAGCCCAGGCCGGACCAGAGGAGGACCGTGACCACCTCTACCACCCGCAGGATGATGCTAGAGAAGCCAATGCTCACGGGCCACCCCAGATGCTGTCCTTGGAGGTGCAGAGCGGCCCGGAGCGGGACCGCGACCATCTCCACCACAGCTAAGTGGAGACATGCCTGGGCTGTGAAATGAGAGGCAGGAGCCAATCCTGGGCGAGGCTTCCTGAGGGAACTTGTCCCTCCCTACCCACCCCTGAGCCACCTCAATAAACCCATTCTGCACTCCACATACTGGTCCTCATTGCTGCCAGAAACATATTGCTAAGTGCAGGGCCCCCAAATCTGGGGGATCCTATGCCTTGGGCTCACCTGAGTAGGGTGAGAAACTCAGTGCACTGGTGTTGCGCTCAAGAAGGTGCCTCAGGCTGTCCCCTCGCCAGGAAAGGTATGGACCTATTGCTCTACAAGGCTGCTCTTGCCTAGCCCAGCATCGGAAAGCAGCGTGATGGGAGTTGAGGGCGTGATTCACTCAGTGAACCCAAACGTTTCCCAGCTCAGGGGGAGACCCCACAGCAAGGATGTCCCATCTCCTGGCAGTGCCAAGGAAACCTTTTAATAGCAATGGCAAACATGGTCCCAGCTGCCAGTCCTCTCACCCCAGGCACTTGTCACTCGCTGCCGGGTCCTTGCCCCCTCCATAGGGTGACACAGGGGCCTGATGGCAGCAGGCAGCCGTGGGGACCCACACTGCCCTGGGCTTAGCTGTCAGTGAAGTTTGCCTTACGCTTCTCCACAAACGCCGTCATCCCCTCCTTGCGGTCACCCTGTGAGGAACAAGGCGAGATCTGTGGGGGCTGCACAGCCCCACCAGCCCCCCCCGCAACAGGACCATCCCCCCTACTCACGGTGGCAAAGGTAGCGTAGAAAAGCCGCTTCTCTGTCCTGGTCCCCTCTGCCAGCGTCGTCTCAAAGGCTAAGAGCAGAAGAGAAGTTAGGGAGACCCCCCTGCCTGGTCCCGCACTCCCCCGGGGGGTTTCCGCTTTGCTCCTCAGCCCCTACCGGCATTGACCGACTCCTTCGCCATGGCAGCCACCAGCTTGGAGTTGCTGGCAATCTTCTCAGCACAGGCAATAGCTGCATCCAGCAGCTTCTCCACAGGGAAGACTTTGCTGACCAGACCTAGGGTAGGTGAGGGAGGTGGTGGGGTCAGGGAATGCCTCCCCACTGGACCCCCATGGTGCTGAGGATGGCATGCACCTTTACCTGCTTCCTTAGCCTCTGCTGCTGAAATCCGGTCCCCAGTAAGGACCATCTCCATTGCCAGCGACTTCCCCACCGCCCTGGTCAACCTCTGCGTTCCTCCAGCACCTGGAGAGATTTTGGGAAGGGAAAGGTCCAGAAAAGGACACCTAAGTGTCCCGGCTCCATCTGGGGCAGGCTCCCTGTGGCAGGTGCCCCCCACTCACCTGGGATAGTCCCCAGCAGGATTTCAGGTTGCCCAAACTGCGCCTTCTCCCCAGCATAGATGATGTCGCACATCATGGCCAGCTCGCACCCACCACCCAGCTGGGACAGGGGAGGAAGGGGAGGGTCAGGGGGGGCCAGGGCCAAGCTGGGGG